AAAAGAGCAGAAGAATTATGTTATTTTGAAATTTGTTTATGGTGAAAATGGTGTCATAGCCACAATGTGAATTTGTTACATTCAGTCAAAGCAGTAAAAGTGAAGGGGCCGAAGAGATATAGTCATCAACACACTATTTCGAAATTTGTCAAATAATGCATTTTGATTCACAATACAGACACTTCTCACAGTTACGATCTATACATTCAATTTACCATAGAAGAAGAAAACGCAGAATGCAGTGTCCCCTTTCTTGACACACGGTTAACGAGAAGTGTCGACAATACAGTCAAAGTTGAGTGGTACAGGAAATCTCTCATTTCAGAGAGATATATGAATCTCCATTCATACCAAAAGTTTTCTTCAAAGTTAAATTTGGTGAAGCAGATGAAAAATAGAGTGCTAATAATCTCTGACAATTCCTATCATCAACAAAATTTGAATATACTTTCAAATCTCTTCACTGAAAGTTCTAATCCTTCTAAATTAGTGATAAATACCTTATTCAACACACCACACACACCTTATAACTCAGCTGATATAATAATATCAATATACCTGATACTCACCCAGCCACTAATAATTTCTCCCAACCCTACCTCACTTCAAAAACTAGCCCCCAAACTGTCAAGAATTTCCTGGTCCATTCCAAATATCAACATATAAATTGGTTATAAAACTGTTTGCCAATAAAATCTATTCATTCAAAATTGAAGGACAAAGTCCCACTGACATCTCAATTGAGTGGTCTGCTGAATACCTTGTCAGGATTGTGACAAAAAAAAAGTCCTCACAAGAGCGACAGTATGCTCCATCCTGAGGGATGTGCTTTGGCTGGTCGTGTCAATGAAATTGATAACCAAAATTAATCGACTTTTTCAAATTTCCCCACAAATGTTCCTGGTGATTTACAGAAATCCCGAATTTTCTTTCTTCGAATTCATCGTTTATTGAAAATCGAAATAAATTATTTGACAAATTTAGAAATAATATGTTGATGAATATATATCTTCTGCTCCTTCAGTTTTTCAGCTTCGACTTAAAGTAACAAATTCACATAGTGGCTATGACACCATTTTTCACTTTTCTATGATTATTCAGTAAAGGAGTGATGTCAGACAGAGAAGAAGATTCACTGAACCCATAATATTAGTAGTACTTTCCGCTTGAAGTTAGCATTTTCACAAATTCAACATTTCACAATTTAACTAATTCACATAATTGTGATTGATCCTGTTTTATGTTTGTCTTTTTAACTATGTCATCATCGTATTTTATCATCACTAACATGGATAAATTTCCTTCGTTGAATCAATGTGACCTAAGAATGAAATGTTTGTAGTATCCCCAATGATGGAAATATAATATTCGGAAAGTTGGGACAAACTTTAAAGAGTACTCGTCACACTATACTATTATATATGCAAAGTGTTGCGCATTTTGTAGATATCATCATTATAATAAAAGGTTTGTCAAACATTTTATCTGATTTTATATTTTTTTTTCTATGAAGTTGAATACGTATTTCATCGACATAACACATAATGGGATCTAAATTTGAAATTGTGGCTCATTCGAATTCTAAAACGAGTTACTGTTACAACTTCGACTTTACAAGCAAATATAATGAAATATGGTTCAAATATTCGTTCAAATATTTTTGAAAACATCGTTGGTATTGGCCCTTTAAAATAAGGTGATAACAGACACAGACTCGTAGGTAATTATCTAGATGAAACATAATAATTTCTTGAAGAAAATATTTCATGATCTAACAAAACCTCTTTCATTCGTTTCCAGACATGATGGTTGACGGAGGTCAGGTCTGGATGGGACCATAATATCGGTCCATTCCTCCCAATCCGTTATTCAGAAAATTGATCATGAATTGATCAAAAAATCTGATATATGATTTGTTCTCCTACATCCAAAGGTACTTCATCCAAAATATCGGGTGAATCATATATAAAATATTCTATATTAAAATGTGTGGCGACCATATAGACCCATTAAACTATGCCCACTTTAACTACCAACACGTTCACATTGAATTTCCATTGAAACGAAAATCGTTTCTTCATATGGAGGTTTCCTTATGCCCAATAATGTACGTTATAAAACTTATTGATCCCTTCATGAGGAAAGGAATATTGCATCCTATATGTCGGTATTCACGATGAATCGACAAAAGTCTCCTTTCTGGAATGGGTCCGTTTTCTTAGAGTCAAGGACTGACCATATCTTCCATGTAGATAGATTCAGCAATCAACCAGGATTTGCAGATTCACTTCCTGGTGATTTTGTTCAATGTTCATTCTATGATCTGATGTAAATTACCTAATCCTACAATATGTATTTGGCGAACACGGTCACGTATCACGTGGGGTACGATAAAATTGTTGAGCAGCAGCTGCGTTGCTGTCAGCTCTGCCGTACATGAAAAAGTCAGCGAATTCAACATTCGGAAAAGCAGCCAGTTTACCAAATTGAGGAACGGAAATATCACCAAATGAACACAATGGAATGCACTAACTATTGACCATCCAGCAAATTTTGAATGATCAGTTTGTCCGGGAAATTTTGAATATATTTGAACGAATATTTCATTAACATTCTACAACTTATAGTCCAATAGCTCGTGAAACTTTTATATGTATCGGTCTATCTGCAGGGCTATAGAAACTTGTATAGTATTAAATCTAAGGGTGTTGAGTACAAATAATATTCGAGAATCATATATGTAATTTGAACTGAAAATTCGAACCAGAAATGCTCGGTCAGCAAGGATTTTTGGAAAACAGCAAGAATAAACTACCCCTCTCAAAGAGTGGGTCGAAATTATTATTTTTTCAGTAGCAACTAAATAGCCATATTAAACCTATGTTCAAATATGTGATTTGGAGCGAAAACTCGAACCAAAAATGCTCGATTAGCAAGAGTTTTGAAAAGCAGTTATAGAGTAATTATTATAAACTACCCTTTGGAGGGGGTGAATTGAAATTATTTCATTGGTAGCAACAATGTATCCAATCAAATTATATTATTATCAAATATAAATTGAATATGCCCTGTCAGCAAACTTTGATAATTTAGGTCAGAAAATTACATTTCCTCCACTGTTGGACTAGCCTGATGGCACCGATCATCAAAATCGCCTGTCATTTGTTTTATTCATTGTATGTGAATGATATTATAATGTAATTTTAAGTTCTCAGCGCTTAGTTTATTTATCGAATTATTTTTACAACGGTACATCGATTGATATATTCATCATCAGTCTTCTGCGTGATATTAGCCACGAGACTAGTTTTATTTCTATCGCAATCTACCATTGTTGTTCATTTCATTGGATACTTGTGGAAATTAATTTTAGTTCCTGCTTCATTATTAACGTCCTGTATTATTGGGAAACCTATAATCTCAAGACGAAGAGATTCTGGGGGAATTTCTTGAATCGACTGTTTCAGCATGCCAAGCTCCATCAGTTGTACTAGGCCAGCTAGTGAAAAATCTACGAAGAGAACTCCAATATAATATGTCTTATTGAAATCCGCGAGACATTCTCTACCGTAACATCCACATTCCGAACGAGAAATATGACTTCTACCATTTTCTACTCGATATTTTTCCTTTTATGATCATGCATGGATAGATATAATATGCTTGTATTCGTCTTTCCTCATTTATGTATATTATGGTATTTCTATCGAATCATGGTAGATATCGGATCACAATAAGCTTATTTCAGGAAGAATACAAGGGAAAATGTCGATAAAGTTTGATTACACACAATCTTTTTTTCATTATTGTAATGGACTGGACTTCTTCAAAAAAAATACAAAGTCAATTTCCGATTACATTTCGCTACACATGTCACTGGTCATGTTCCGATCTTCCCAAACAGTACTGGCCAGTATATTTTATCGTTTTGATTTTACTGACATTAAATGGCAACGTTTTCGCCGGTCATTGCACAAGGAACCCTGTTAAAGGCTAAAAGTTCATCGAAGCTTTTGGATGACTAGGTCTGAGTCGATAACAATTATATATTATCATTTTTAAATACTTTCAGAAAATGTATGAATTTGAACTGGAAGATCTCACAGAGGCAGTAGACGCTGAAACTGCCACTGATCTACAAATATATCACAGCAATATGCTTCATTTATTCATCACTGGAACTAGAGGTACTATCAACCTTGGTGGTTCTGATGAATCAGAATCACTATCGGATGATATGTCTTCTAAGATAGTATGATTGATCACTCCATCCATGATTTCAATGTGAGTGAATGAATAAGAATTATGAAAATAAAAACCAACGAAACAAAACATCCAAAGTCAAAAGATCATAGGTTATGGTTATGTTTTGCTGCCAGTATACCAGTACTGCCAAAATCGTTCAGAAATGAAATACAAATTCAGAGCTACTGCTACTGTTTAGTGTTCCTGAATTGCTTACTGTGTCAGTAATATCGGAACTTGACCTCAGTTCGGCTTACGAAACGCACAGTGGCACTGGTGGCATTGTTCTGAACGTCATCATTCTATTTGTGGGAGGTTTGTGCCAAATGCATACCCAAACTTCACAGCGCTAAGAAGTGTCTGAATCTTTCGAAGGATTCCCATCACGTGATATGTTGGAATTCGTGCTTTTTGATGAGTATTTTTTACAATGAAATTGTGGAGGCTAAGTTTCGTAAGGAGTTTTACTCTTGTACACTAATAGCATGCCGTCACCCCACTGTTATCATTGGTGTACTGATTCAAGCTCCGAATGACCTTCTGCGATGTTTTCGGGATGTACATTACGTTAATATATGAGTTTTTCACGAGCGAATGTGCATGCGTCCATATAATGTATCACGCGTGATTCACTGTCGCCAATATGACAATGGGGTCTGCGGATACTTCGTAAACTTCAGAGTCTCGTCAGCGTTAGTCTTGCCCATAGAGATCCAATAAAAGTAGGATATTCTCAATATCGTTGATGTTTTCAGAAAGCCCGCCTCGCCAGAATACGCATTGCCAAAGCCTCTTCCGGCGCAGCTTTCGTCAGCAAAAAGAAGGCTGCCGAAGCGCGCCTGGCTGCCCAGGAATCGGGCATCGAGCTGGACGACAACTACCGCGATGAGGACATCTTCGAGCTGCAGCACCACCACCTGCTGCGCTGTCTCGAGAAGACCACCGACCGCGAGTTCGTGGAGCTCGAGGTGCCCTACAACGGCCACCCCAAGCGGCCGGGCTCCCCCTCTCCGATGGCCAGTCCAGCCCATTCCGCGGTGTCGATTGGCCTGCTGCAGTCGTGCTGCGGCAGGTGCTGCGGCAGGAGGTACCAACAGACCTGCGGCAAGTACATGCCTGCAGCGTCAGCCGCACAGACCAACCAGACAGGAAGCGGAATGGACGGGACTTATCTCGTCGAGGCGTCTTTTTAAGACATATCACGGACTTTGTCTCTTCTTCCGTTTCAGGGAGGGAGTGGCTTTTCGATGTGCTGTTGTGGCCCAATCCCTGGGAGTCCTAACCACCAACGCGTAAAACGGACATGCGACATTCTTTATTACAAAATAACTTAATTTTGGGGTAGTGAAGGTCTCCTATAAAAGCGATATTTCCGTCGAATATTAGAGATAATAGATAGGGAATCGATATCGTGAACGGAGGATCGTACCTACCGATTTAATCTAGTGCTATAAGTGGAAATGAAAGATGTCAGGATTCCGAATTCTCTTGATCATCACCAGAATTCGCAACTTCAAGGTCTCAAGGAGCGATCCCATTAAATATGAACATATAACTCGACCATATACATGCTTCTCAAAACATCTACGCAATATGGTATATTTACATTATGATTACTTTTTTATATATGTGAATAAATGGGATACATCGATAAAAATCGCGTAATTGCGATCGTATCTAGTATCAAATTTCATATGAATAATAATTTCGAAATTCCTTTTATACCACCGGAATGATCTTTTCTAATCGATAACTGAATGCACAGATCACCCAACTTCCAGATGCGAAAGTTTTGTTGCCGCCTTCGAAGTTCGATTGGTCAAAATTTGTAACACCAGTAAACACAGGATATCCTCTGGATATCCATATGATGTCTATGCTTGATCCATATGGACATGGACATCGAATGAACATCCAATGGATGTCCATTAACCACTAGTACAATGGAGGCCCGTTTAGGGATATTCACTGAAAATTCAGTTTCCGTCCATACTGGACGAGAGGATTCAATTGAAAGATGGGCGTCCATTGGACTCCCTTTGTACATCCTTTGGTCGAATCGAAATATACGACGATATATACCATTTGCCAATCGATTAATTCTTTACATTCGAATAGTGAGTTTACCATATCTTTAATTTCATGTGATAAATAAATTTGGAGGCAGCGTCAGTTTGAAGCGGTACCTATTTTATTGGCAGAGGAACTGCGGAATATGGCTCCTTGAATAAAATGTCTATTCAGAGTAGTGAATACGGCTCAGCATTCAGTGGTTTCATGAAAATGAATGATTATTTGAAATCATTATTGCACTGATGTGAAATCTCATTTTCCATGTGGATCATTCTTCCTCTATAAATATTTTGAACATAAGTTCGAAACTATCCATTGGATGTCCAATTTGGTGGCAAATGGATAACTGATGGATATCCATTGGATGTCCCTCTTGACATAATCGGACGTCCAATGGATATTCGTAATGTACATTGTGGACATACAGAGGACATCCAATGTATTTACGCGTGTTATATGGAACGCAATAAATGCGCATACAAATTCGGTTCTGGCAGGAGGCCTAGATTTCGAATCTAATCACAAGAGTTGTGTAACCTGTGCTGAGGTTTCGTGAATTTTACTATCATTCCATCAAGAGTTCACCTACCTATTCACAATAAATAATATACCCAGTAGTGGATTCTTATTGGAGGTTACTCCTGAAATGTAAATGTTAATTTTCTTCCAGATGGCGTTAAGAACGTTCTGAATTTCCAGAAATATCTATTTTCTACAGTTAATTTGCTACTATATCTCATTAATATTGATCAATCACTGAAGTCGTATATAGATTTGTTTGATAATATAGTGTTCTAGAAAATTCGGTATTCATCAAGTTCTTTTATTTCCGACCGGTTCATTAACATTTTATCGATCCTCTATACCCTATATTATTTTTGGGAACACTGTGTCCTAATTTCGACTTCGAAATCAAGCTAACTCCGAGTACTAACAAGAAATTAGTGCATACCTTTGTCGATTGTGTACTCGGAATTAAGCTGATTTCTAGTTGTGAAAAAATATGGTGAATGCACAAGTTCTCGACCAGTTAACCGAAATGTCAGCTTTGAAAGTGATAAAATTCATGCAAAAGCTCATAACATTGTATTGAAGGCAGTGCATACCGATTCCATGATAACTCAAAAGTAATTTGAATGTGATGATTCAAGTGTTTTCTTGCATTCAGCTCTTGGGATCTTGATGAAAAGAAAAAAATCTACGATTTCAATGGTTCTTAACTACCCTTCTGACTTCTCGACCATCCTCATGTTGATTCTCGACCACCATCTATCTGATTGATTCACAAGGAAATGAATTGATCAGAAACACTCGACACGTAGAAATTATAATGCAATCATCATTTAATACTCAGGTAGACTTCTAAACTCTAGAAAACGATAAAGTATTTATTTTCAAACATAGGAACCTAATGGTAATTGCCATTGTCCATTGTTTTCGATTCCTAGCAGATCTATGAACAATAAAAATTGATATATATAATAAATCAGATTTATAATTTTTTGCGTTGTAAAATAATATGGTGAATATTTCAATGGAAAAATAATTTAATACTTAGAGATAGTAGAAATAATCAGATATGATATGAACAGTGGTCGGTGAAGATGGTCGCATTGGTTTTCGATTATCAATGAAGGAATTGCAGAAGAAATCAATATTATCTAGGCCTCATTTGATGGTTGCGAAGATGGTGAATTCTGGTATTCCACCATTAATAAAGGAATTGCAGAAGAAATATTATTCGGGCCCTATTTGATGGTCGCGAACTAATTGTTGATGAGTAAGTAATATGTGGATGGATGAGTGTGTAGAAAATCATTCGAATATTCACCAAAGAAAGTAAAATACCAGACATAGACTATTATTCAAGATATGCATTGGTTCACGCGACCACTTAGGTCAGTTTTCTCGCCTCAATTTGCAGGCTCGACCATAATAGACAGTTACTCGTCCTTGGTCCTTGGAAAAAGTGGTTGAAACACATATTATACCGGTAATCCTGATGGTACAAGGAATATTTCTCTTATTATTTTATCTCGAATTTCCGAACGGGTCGAAAACCAGTGCCGGCCGGTTAACCAGTGCACGTATAGTGTACTTATACCCACTCGCATGTCCGTTCCACAGAACTCAAAGAACTATAGAAGGCCAATATAAGTCTGAGAAATCACTCGAATCCGATACCACCAGTGTGCTTTGTACACAATCACAATCATGTGATTGCACACTGTGTATATTATTTTACTGAAGTCTCATATTAATGTATTGGGATATACTTTGAATCTCCTTTGGAACTCGTCATAATTGAAGATTAGCAATTATGCATTACTTAATCATATGTTCGAATATCACCTGATATTGATTGCGTAACATAAAATATTTTATTTATTATGGAAGTTTTGATTTCCAACAATTTCACAATTCCACAATATGAAGGAATTAAGAACTATATGGAATAACTCGTTTTCATATTTATTTCTACCTCAAAATTGAGAGTGTAAGGGGATAATTATAATTATTGATATTAAGGAATTATCATGATTTTTTTTTCATCATTTGTTTTTGTAAATTGAGTATGATTACTAGGTGTTTTATTATTGTTGCACGCAATTTTGAATAAGAAACAAATTTCTTGAGTCAAAATATGGAACGAGATATGAAGAGAAGTTTATACAGGTAAACATGATTATATATTCCCGAATTCCCAAATTCAAGGTTCTTTGAGAATCCATTTCTGATAAATTTTAACAAAGTCTCTGAGATTCATAAAACTAATCAATCTTTTGATGATTTGAAATGTTTAGAAGGTACCTATACCATTTCTATAAAGAATGATTTATAACTTCCATACTATCCCAATCACATGCTTTTTGCCAATTGTTTTCATGAAACTTGAAAATGAGTTGAATTTGGACAAATTTCATATGTCCAGTTTTCGATGTTTCTGCGTGATATCATCCATAAAGTTGGAATCATATGGGAAAACTTTATAATAATTCATTTCGAAATTTAACATGGGCGTTAAGTTTTGCTTGAAAAAAAATTAAATGTGGCCTACTTGGTCGAAGTCACGTGACTTTCGCTACATGTCAAAGTTGAAATTTTTTCAAATCACTGAAAATAGGCTTATTTGTTCGAATTCCAAACATGTTCATTGGGGAAAGTTATTTCAATTCCGTGTATGTGTTTTGAATTTGAATGTTGTGTTGCAACCTTTAGTTCTTTTCGATTTCTTCTAATTTCAACTCGATCAAACGTAAAGTAGTTTGATGATATTTTGATAGATTTATTTATTTATTTATTTTATTTATTTCTTACACTGTTCAACAGGTTGCCCCATTTACAGAACAGGAAAAAATGACAAAACAAAAACATGCATTGCATATTACATAAGCATAATGGATAGACGGAACAATATGACATAATGAAAATATCCTGACTAAGTATCTAGTTATTCACTGATGAAGGAGAAAAAAGATAAAAAGTTTTGACATGAGTTATTCCACAGCTGAACAGATCTAGATTCCTAGCTACCAAGTTATATGTACTACACATCTTATACAATGGTGAATTTTTATATATGTTGGTTCGAGGAAACTCTAAGTAGAACGTATCACAATTTCTGGAAGATAATAAAGTTCAATTTTTCCAACAAATCTGCACAGTCAATTAGAATGTTAACAACCTTAGAAAGGATCAGGATAGAGAAGTATTGTCTTCTTACGTGCAGGCTTACGAATTGGAAAGTTTCAAGAAGCTCTCCATGAGGTGTACCAATTGGAGGGTATGTACCGCATGACCTGTAACTTAACAGTTTTGAAAACCGTCTTTGCAGACTTTCAAGACGATCAGTATTGTTCCGATAGTATGCATATTCAATCTTCGAACGTATGAAACAGTAGTACAATTTCTTGAGAGTATCTATCTAGATGACAAACATAACAAAAATATGAAGCAAGAATTATTATTTTGTGGAGAAAATCATATTTCTGAAGATAATTAGTGATTAAAATTCAGTAGCATGATGAAGCTACTAGAATAAAATTGCTTTGTGGGTATTAATTTTTTTTTAATATAAAATGAACACATTTCGTATGAATTGAAAAAATATCAGAAACTAAAAGATGTTATAGAAATTCGAAATTCGAGACCCTTATGTGGAATTGGAATAGAAACAACCTTTCTCTGTGAACTTTTCTGAAATTCAAACAAGTAAGCCTGTTTTTAAAGATTAATTTGAAAAAATGTAATTATTGACGCCCAAGTCGAAATACATTTTCATTGAAAGTTTTTCCATATGACGACTTTATGAATGATACTGTATAATCAATTTTTTTCATACTTGGATCCAGAAAATCTGATCTCAAAGTTTCGTGCAACATTATTGAAAGGGATGAGAATTTCTTATTAAATGTAATTTTTTTTACTATATTGTTTTTGTTTACCGCTGACACAAATCTAATTGATCATTCATCAACGTTATTTTAGTCATCATATCAAATTAATGGATTAGGGAGTCGTTTTCTTCATCTGAATATTTATCCCGAAGACCCTTTTCGCAATTATCAAATATGAAAATAAACACTAGGTATAATAGATTATCTGATTTGAAGGTATTTATTATCTCTCAAATATTGAATATTCAACAACTGACATGACATAACAACTACTTTCTGGACTATACCTAATCTCAGCTCAGTAAGGGGGGGGGGGGGGGTAATACGTAGCGCGGGGGTGACAGGAACCAAAAAATCGCCGCAGGCGAATTTTATCTCTGGTTCAAGCTCAAATACCTTTGAATTGATCGTTAGCTTCGATTTCAGTTTGTTTTATTCACCTGAAAATTTGAATTTCCTGAAGGCGAGAAAAATCGAATTTTAAACTTTAAGTTTGCTCCTGCTGAAAAAATGCCTGAGTGTTATTTGGTAAGACCATTTAATGCATACGTAGATCACACTGTTGATGGTTTTTTTTCAATTTCCCCACTCGAAGACTCTTAATC